TTAGAACGGTCCAAGGAAGGTTTTTCAAACAAAACAATTATACATCCTTCCCGATGAAGGTTCCAGGAAGGTTCCACAAAGGTTTTCCCCAACAACCTGCCGACAATCTTCCTGAGGAAGGTTTTGGGGAGGTTCCAGGAAGGTTTTTCCCAAAAACCTCCCAAACACTTTCCCGAGGAAGGTTCCAGGAAGGTTCCAGGAAGGCTTTTCCCTAACAATTTTCCAAACACCTTCCTGCGGAAGGTTTTAGGAAGGTGGCGGAACGTTTTTTCCCAGAACCTTCCAAAACACCTTCCTGAGGCAGGTTTTAGGAAGGTGTCAGGAAGGTTCTTCAAAACAGGAAAAAACATCCCAAATCCGTTCCGGAGGAATATTTTAGGAAGGTTCCAGGAAGGTTTGTCACAAACAACCTTCCGAAAACCTTCCTGGGGGACGTTTTGGGGTGGTCACAGGAAGGTTTGTCCAACAACCTTCCAGAAACCTCCCCGCGGAAGGTTTCAGGAAGGTTCCAGGCGGGCCGTTCCCAAACACCTTCCAAACGCCTTCCCGAGGAAGGTTTTAGGAAGGTTCCAGGGAGGTTTCCAACACAAAACCTTACAACAACCTTCCTGAGGAAACTTGTAGGAAAAAGGTACCAGGGAGGTTTTTCCCCAACGACCTTCCAAACACCTTCCCGAGGAAGATCCTAGGAACATGTCCGACATTTTTTCCCGAGGGCCTTCCGACAGCCTTCCCGGGGAAGGTTTTAGGGGGTTCCAGGAAGGTTTATATGTAGGTATGTATGTGTATATATATATGTATATGTATATGTATGTGTATATATGTATATATGTGTATACATATATATATATATACATACATACATATACATATATATACATACATATATATCCCTTCCACACACCTGCCCGGGGAAAGTTTTAGGAAGGTTCCGGTGAGGTTTTTCCAACAACCTTCCGAACACCTTCCTGAGGAAGGTTGTAGGAAGGTTTCAGTGGGCTTTTTCCCGGAACCTTCCAAAAACTTCCATGGGGAAGGCTTGACGAAGGCCCCAGGAATTTTTCCGAACAAACCTTCCAAACTTCCCAGAGGGGGGCCTGGAGAAGGAAGGCTTTTTTTCCTTTTCCCAAAAACCTGTCAAGCACGGTCCTGGGGAAGGTTCGAGGAAGGTCGCAGGAAGGTTGTTCCCAAAAGCCCCCCAACAACTTCCTGAGGAAGGTTCCAGAAGGTTTTTCTCAAAACCTGTCCGAAACCTTCCCGAGGAAGGTTTAGGAAGGTTCCAGGGGGGGGTTCCCCCAAAAACCTTCCAACCACCTTCCTGAGGAAGGTTTCAGGAAGGTTTCAGGAAGGTTTTCCACGACAGCCCTCCAACAACCTTCCTGAGGAAGGTTTTAGGAAAGTGCCTGGAAGGTTTTTATTTCGTAAAAGGCAGTGACAAAAAAAAAAAGGTTCCATGAAGGTTTTTCAACAAAAGAAAAAAACGCATTCTCCTGGGGAAGGTTTTAGGGAGGTTCCAGGACGGTTGTTTCCCAACAAACCTTCCCACAACCTTCCTGAGGAAGGCTTCAGGGAGGATTATGGAAGGTTTTTGTCCGAAAACTTTCCAAGCACCTTCCTGGGGAAGGTGTTCGGAAGGTTTCAGGAAGGTTATTCCCAAAAACCTTCCAACGACCTTCCTGAGGAAGGTTTCAGGAAGGTTTCAGGAAGGTTTTCCACGACAACCCTCCAACAACCTCCCTGAGGAAGGTTTTAGGAAAGTGCCTGGAAGGTTTTTATTTCGTGAAAGCCAGTGACAAAAAAGGAAGGTCCCAGGAAGATTTTCCAAAAAAAAAAAAAAAAAAAAAAACGCATTCTCCTGGGGAAGTTTTTAGGGAGGTTCCAGGACGGTTTCCCCCAACAAACCTTCCCACAACCTTCCTGAGGAAGGCTTCAGGAAGGATAATGGAAGGTTTTTGTCCGAAAACTTTCCAAGCACCTTCCTGGGGAAGGTGTTCGGAAGGTTTCAGGAAGGTTTTTCCCAAAAACCTTCCAACGACCTTCTTGAGGAAGGTTTCAGACAGGTTCCAGGAAGGCGTTTCCCAAAGACCATCCAAAAACCTTCCCGGGGAAGGTTGTAGGAAGGCGTCAGGAAGGTTTTCCCCAGAAGCGTTCCCGAAACCTTCCCGAGGAAGGTTTTAGGCAGGGCCCAGGAAGGTCTTCCCCCAAAAAACTGTCCAAGCACCTTCCTGAGGAAGTTTTATGGACATGTTCCAGGAAGGTTGTTCCCAAAGACCGCCCAACAACCTTCGCGAAGGATGTTTTAGGAAGGTGCCATGAAGGTTTTTTCCAAACAAAAGCTTCCGAACACCTCCCCGAGGAACGTTCTAGGAAGTTTCCAAGATTGTTTTTTTCCCCCAAAAGACCTTCCAAAAACCTCTTCCGGGGAAGGTTTTGAACGGCGTCAGGAAGGTGTTTCCAAACAAGCTGCCCCAACACCTTCCTGAGGAAGGTTTTAGGAAGGAAGGTTCCAGGAAGGTTTTTTTCTTAACTACCTTCCAACAACCTTCCCGGGGAAGGTTTCAGGAAGGTTTCAGGAAGGTTGGTTTTCCACGAAACCTTCCAACAACCTCCCTGAGGAAGGTTTTAGGAAGGTGCCAGGAAGATCTGTTCCAAAACACCTTCCGAAAACCTTCCTGAGGAAGGTGTTGGCAAGGTTCCAGGAAGGTTTTCCCCAAAAACCTCCCTAAAACCTTTTAAGGAAGGTTGGAAAGGAAGGTTTTAGGAAGGTTCCAGGAAGGTTTGTCCAAAAAGCTTCCACCAACCTTCCTGAGGAAGGTTTTGGGAAGGTTGCAGGAAGGTTTTTTCCCAACCCTCTTCCAAATACCTTCCTGAGGAAGGTTTTTTTTTTTAAAAAAAAGGTTACAGGGAGGTTTCCCCCAAAAACCTTCCAAAAACCTTCCCGAAGAAGGTTTTAGGAAGGTTTCAGGACGGTTTCCCCCGACAGCCTTCCCGAAACCTTCCTGGGGAACGTTTTGGAAGGTTTCATGAAGATTTTCCCTACAAGCCTTACAAACACTTTCCAGAGGAAGTTTTTGGAGCGGCTCCAGGAAGGTTCGTCCAAAAACCTTCCAAAAACCTTCCAGAGGAAGGTTTTAGGAAGGTGTCAGGAAGGTTTTTCGGGGGTGGGGGAAACCTTCCAAAAACCTTCCCGAGGAGGTTTTAGGAAGGTTCCAGGACGGTTTTTCCAACGCAGCAGTTCAAAACCTCACCAGGGAGGTTTTAGAAAGGTTTCAGGAAGGCTTTCCCGAACAAACTTCCCAAACAACCTTCCGGAGGAAGGTTTTAGGAGGGATTCAAGAAGGCTTATTTTAACAAAAAATACCTCCCAAACGCGTTCCTGATGAAGGTTTCAAGGAGGTTGTTTCCCAAAGCCTTCCAAAAACCTTCCAAGGAAGGTTTTAGGGGGGTTCCAGGCAGGTTCTTCCCCAAAAGACTTTCCAAGCACCTTCCTGAGAAAGGTTTTAGGGAGGTTCCCGGAAGGCTTTCCCCCAAAACCTTCCAACAACTTCCCTGAGGAAGGTTTTCGGAAGGTTCCAGGAAGGTTTTTCCGAACAACCTTCCAAACAGCCTTCGCCGAAGGTTTTAGGAAGTTTTTTGGGCCAGCCCCTCCTGGAACCTGCCTGAGGAAGGTTTAAGGAGGGATTCAGGAAGGATTGTTTTAACAAAAAATACCTCCCAAACGCTATCCTGATGAAGGTTTCAAGTAGGTTTTTTTCCCCAAAGCTTTCCAACAACCTTCCTATGAAGGTTTTAGGAGGGTTCCAGGCAGGTTCTTCCCCAAAAGACTTTCCAAGCACCTTCCTGAGGAAGGTTTTAGGAAGGTTCCCGGAAGGCTCTCCCCCAAAACCTTCCAACAACCTCCCGGAGGAAGGTTTTCGGAAGGTTCCAGGAAGGTTTTCCCGAACAACCTTCCAAACAGCCTTCGCCGAAGGTTTTAGGAAGGTTTTTGGGCCAACCCCTCCTGGAACCTGCCTGAGGAAGGTTTTAGGAAGGCTTTTGGAAGGTTGTTTGGAAGGTTTTATGAAAGGTTTTAGGAAGGTTGTTTGGAAGGCGTTTTTTTTTCTCCCCCCCCCCGGTTTTTGGAAAAGGTTTTTGAGAGGTTTTTGGACGGCTCTTTTTTGTAAGGTTTTTGGAAGGTGTTTGGAAGGTTTTTGGAATGTATTGGGCGGTTACGCTTATTTCGGGAAAGTGTTTGGAAGGTTTTTTGGTAAGTTGTTTGAAAGGTTTTTTCTGTAAGGTTTTTGGGAGGTGTTTGGAAGGTTTTCGGACGGCCCCCCCCGCCCCCCCGGGAAAATCTGCAAAAAACGCATTCCTAAAACCTTCCTCAGGAAGGTTTCAGGAGGGGTTCGTCGGAACTCCCGCACCGGTCTCCCCCGACGGCTCCCCTTAGGGGCGTGAAAATGAGCGCCTCGCTCGAGACATCCTCCAAATCTGCTCCGAAAGCGAAGGATGTTGGGACAGAAACCATGCAAACCGCTTGAGACATCCCGACAACACGGCCGCGAACGGGACCGTGTCATACCCCTCGGCGGCTCTCCTTAGGGGTGCTGAAACCAGCGCCCAGCCTGAGACATCCTCACAATCTGATGTGTGTAGAGTAAGTCAGAAAGCCTGAGTATGAGAAAGTCGAGTCTCAGCATGAGTAGGTCTGAGTATGAGTAGGTCTGGGTATGAGTATGTCTGAGCATGAGTAGGTGTGAGTACGCGTAGGTCTGAGTATGAGTAAGTCTGTGTATGAGTAAGTCTGTGCATGAGTAAATCCGGGTATGAGGAGGAGGAGGGGAAGAAGAAGAGGAAGAGGAAGTCCGAACCGCCACTGGAGGGGACCGCCGTGGCCCACAGGAACCCCAAGAGGCTCACCCGGGGGGGATGACGAGGGACTCGGGAGGCCCCGAGAGAGCCCCAGGAGGCCCCCAGACGGCCCAAGGCAGCTCAGGGTGGCGCCAAGACGGCCTCCGTAGCCATTTTGGCTCGAGTCGAGTCCTTTTGACTTGAAGTTGTGCGCCCCCAAAGCGTCAGACCCTACAGGTGCCACGTGCACGCTCCCAGGCGCCGGGCGCGAGATGCAGATCGCAGGCGCGTCCTCCGCGCTCGTGGTTCCTCTGGTCTTTGGGCCGGTGTACGCAAGTGCCTACAGCAGGTTCTTCGCCGAGCAGGTGGGGAAGGATCCGAGCGCGGCGCTGCAGAGGTTTGGGTGGGTCTGCGTGTTTGTGTCGAAGGTACTGTTCACCAAGCTGATCCCTGAGAGCTACGCTATCGCAGAGCTCTGCGGGCTCACTCCGTCGACTTCGGGGCTCCTCGTCAGCGTCTACGCCGGGGCGCATATGATCGGCTACGGGGTATTGTGGGGCATGTTCAGGTCAGGCGCCCAGAAGTTAGACAGCGCCGAGTTGTTCTCAGCCTATGCCATGGCCGCCATCTGCCTCACCATCGGCACCGTGGGTTTCGCCGCAGTCATGCCGCACGTGGAGTACTTGCCGGGCGCTTGGTCTCGAGGTGGAGCATTGCTCCTCTGCCGCGCCATTGCGGGCGTTGGCGGGGGCATGATGGTCTATGCAGCCTTGAACGTCGCGTCCAGCAACGGCACGCTAGAGCAGAAGAGGGAAAACACGGCATGGCTCACGGTCGCAAGCGCCGCGGGGGCTGGTTGCGGACCAATCCTCGCTTCCGCCTCTCAGAGCATTCGCCAAATCATGTCCGTGGATGGGTTCCAGTTTTACGACGACGTGTTGCTCTGCTTGGCCGTGTGCATGGGCGTCAGCAGCCTTCGGGGCTTGAGCAGAGACACTGCCGAGCACGCGGCGTTCCAGAAGGTCCAGAAACCACCGGAAGAAACGCCTCCTCAGCTTCGCGCCGCGTCGAAGCGCGCGCTGCTGTGGTGCGCAAGCCTCTGCTGCATCAGGACGTTCGTGATGAGCGGGGCCGAGGTGGCCACGGCTCTCATCCTCGAGGATTGTGGGCCAATTCTCCACCACCCCTACCATTGGTAGGACGGGGGAGAAGGGAGGACGGGAGGTCCTCCTCCTCCTCCTCTCCTCCTCCTCCTCCTCCTCCTCCTCCTCCTCCCTCTCCTCCGTATGGCAGTGGTGGTGGACATCGGCCCATCAGAGGAGAGCGCGAGCTGGTCGAGGGTGAGCATCGGGCTCGCGATCGGGGCCGCGTTCCTCCTGACCTGGCCGGTCCAGGCGGTGCTCGACCTCACGCACTTCGGCACCACGGCGGCGTCCGCGCAGGTCCTGCTCGGGGGCGCCCTGCTGGCGGCCCTGATGATGTCCCGCTCCATGGCGGCGCCGCTAGGCTCGTCGTGGTCGCTGCTGGCGGCGGACACCATCCTCCTGCCGCAGTTGATGGTGGTGGGGGGGTACCTCGACGGCATCATGCTCTCGCTCCCCAGCCTCGCTCCTGGTCCGGGCATGCCGTCGCAGCACGACGTGCAGCTCCTGCGCGGCGTCTGCACGGACGGGCTGGGACGCCTCCTGGGTCCCCCGGTTGCCCGATGGATCGCGACGTCTTCCGGGTTCTGCGACGGGCAGGACCTCTACAGCATTGTGCAATTCTGCGGGATCGCTGTCATGATCGTCGTGTTCAAGACGTTCGTGTTTCCAGCTTACGACGAGGCAAGGCGCTGGGCCCAGCGAGGGGAGCTTGGCGAGTGCGCTGCATCGGACGCGCCATTGCTCGGCGATCCCCCGCGCGAGGCCAGCGAGGTCCAGCCCAGCATGAGGGCGGACATGTACGGTGAGTACTGGGTCTCGCTGCCAGCCCGCCTGGCGCATGACAAACTCACAGAAGGCCCGTTCAACCTGGACAGTCATGCGGGCGCGGGGCAGCGCCTGGCCCTGGTCATCCGCGGCGAATCCTTCCGCGAGGGGCGGCAGCATTCTCGTGCAGTTGGGTCGGATGCTGCAGTCGGCGAGCAGATGCTCGCGTCGGCGTCGCACATGAGCCTCATCGTGGAACCTTTCCGTCAAGCAGGCTACGATGTCGAGATCTTCCTGCAGACCAGGCACATCAACGACGATCTCACGGAGAAGCTGCACAGCTGGTACGGGGACACCGTGACGAGGACCGAATTCTCTGACAACACCCAGAGCGCCTACAAGCCTCGCAAGTACAACCAAGCGACAGGCAAGTTCGAGACGGGCCCTGATTACACGCCGCGCGTGGCAGGCAGCGGCTTGGTGGCGTCGTGGGAGCTGTGCATGATGAACCTCGCGCGGTCCCTCGACGAGCAGAAGCGAGATTTCAGCCACGTCCTCGTGATCCGAGCGGACCAGGTCTTCAAAGTGAACGTTGGGCAGATCCTCCTCAACCTGGACGCCGAGGACCGCGACAAGATCCTCTACGCGAACAAGCACGTCGTGCACGGCCCAGACGGACAGCCCATCGAAGAGGGCCAGTGTCCCTCAGGGAGGCGCTTCTTCGGCGACAGGTGGGACAGCGCTGACGGTACGCCGAGCGTCAGCGATCAGTTCCATTGGTTCCCCTTCGGACTTGCAAACGTCATGATGAAGTGCGGCTTTCCTGGCCACCAGGGGTGGGACAAGCACCGGGCGTGGGTCGGCGAGGCACGCTTGGGCTTCCTGACCCCGGGGCCCTTCGAGTCCGACCCGTCCAAGGGGTGGAACCCGCTGTTCCGGCTGGCGGGCCGCGCCGAGCAAGAGGCCACAGAGGCAGAGCTCAGCAGGGTACCTCGCGACTGGCCCCAGGTCCAGCCCAGCATGAGGGCGGACATGTACGGTGAGTACTGGGTCTCGCTGCCAGCCCGCCTGGCGCATGACAAGCTCACAGAAGGCCCGTTCAACCTGGACAGTCATGCGGGCGCGGGGCAGCGCCTGGCCCTGGTCATCCGCGGCGAATCCTTCCGCGAGGGGCGGCAGCATTCTCGTGCAGTTGGGTCGGATGCTGCAGTCGGCGAGCAGATGCTCGCGTCGGCGTCGCACATGAGCCTCATCGTGGAACCTTTCCGTCAAGCAGGCTACGAGGTCGAGATCTTCCTGCAGACCAGGCACATCAACGACGATCTCACGGAGAAGCTGCACAGCTGGTACGGGGACACCGTGACGAGGACCGAATTCTCTGACAACACCCAGAGCGCCTACAAGCCTCGCAAGTACAACCAAGCGACAGGCAAGTTCGAGACGGGCCCTGATTACACGCCGCGCGTGGCAGGCAGCGGCTTGGTGGCGTCGTGGGAGCTGTGCATGATGAACCTCGCGCGGTCCCTCGACGAGCAGAAGCGAGATTTCAGCCACGTCCTCGTGATCCGAGCGGACCAGGTCTTCAAAGTGAACGTTGGGCAGATCCTCCTCAACCTGGACGCCGAGGACCGCGACAAGATCCTCTACGCGAACAAGCACGTCGTGCACGGCCCAGACGGACAGCCCATCGAAGAGGGCCAGTGTCCCTCAGGGAGGCGCTTCTTCGGCGACAGGTGGGACAGCGCTGACGGTACGCCGAGCGTCAGCGATCAGTTCCATTGGTTCCCCTTCGGACTTGCAAACGTCATGATGAAGTGCGGCTTTCCTGGCCACCAGGGGTGGGACAAGCACCGGGCGTGGGTCGGCGAGGCACGCTTGGGCTTCCTGACCCCGGGGCCCTTCGAGTCCGACCCGTCCAAGGGGTGGAACCCGCTGTTCCGGCTGGCGGGCCGCGCCGAGCAAGAGGCCACAGAGGCAGAGCTCAGCAGGGTACCTCGCGACTGGCCCCAGGTCCAGCCCAGCATGAGTGCGGACATGTACGGTGAGTACTGGGTCTCGCTGCCAGCCCGCCTGGCGCATGACAAGCTCACAGAAGGCCCGTTCAACCTGGACAGTCATGCGGGCGCGGGGCAGCGCCTGGCCCTGGTCATCCGCGGCGAATCCTTCCGCGAGGGGCGGCAGCATTCTCGTGCAGTTGGGTCGGATGCTGCAGTCGGCGAGCAGATGCTCGCGTCGGCGTCGCACATGAGCCTCATCGTGGAACCTTTCCGTCAAGCAGGCTACGAGGTCGAGATCTTCCTGCAGACCAGGCACATCAACGACGATCTCACGGAGAAGCTGCACAGCTGGTACGGGGACACCGTGACGAGGACCGAATTCTCTGACAACACCCAGAGCGCCTACAAGCCTCGCAAGTACAACCAAGCGACAGGCAAGTTCGAGACGGGCCCTGATTACACGCCGCGCGTGGCAGGCAGCGGCTTGGTGGCGTCGTGGGAGCTGTGCATGATGAACCTCGCGCGGTCCCTCGACGAGCAGAAGCGAGATTTCAGCCACGTCCTCGTGATCCGAGCGGACCAGGTCTTCAAAGTGAACGTTGGGCAGATCCTCCTCAACCTGGACGCCGAGGACCGCGACAAGATCCTCTACGCGAACAAGCACGTCGTGCACGGCCCAGACGGACAGCCCATCGAAGAGGGCCAGTGTCCCTCAGGGAGGCGCTTCTTCGGCGACAGGTGGGACAGCGCTGACGGTACGCCGAGCGTCAGCGATCAGTTCCATTGGTTCCCCTTCGGACTTGCAAACGTCATGATGAAGTGCGGCTTTCCTGGCCACCAGGGGTGGGACAAGCACCGGGCGTGGGTCGGCGAGGCACGCTTGGGCTTCCTGACCCCGGGGCCCTTCGAGTCCGACCCGTCCAAGGGGTGGAACCCGCTGTTCCGGCTGGCGGGCCGCGCCGAGCAAGAGGCCACAGAGGCAGAGCTCAGCAGGGTACCTCGCGACTGGCCCCAGGTCCAGCCCAGCATGAGTGCGGACATGTACGGTGAGTACTGGGTCTCGCTGCCAGCCCGCCTGGCGCATGACAAGCTCACAGAAGGCCCGTTCAACCTGGACAGTCATGCGGGCGCGGGGCAGCGCCTGGCCCTGGTCATCCGCGGCGAATCCTTCCGCGAGGGGCGGCAGCATTCTCGTGCAGTTGGGTCGGATGCTGCAGTCGGCGAGCAGATGCTCGCGTCGGCGTCGCACATGAGCCTCATCGTGGAACCTTTCCGTCAAGCAGGCTACGAGGTCGAGATCTTCCTGCAGACCAGGCACATCAACGACGATCTCACGGAGAAGCTGCACAGCTGGTACGGGGACACCGTGACGAGGACCGAATTCTCTGACAACACCCAGAGCGCCTACAAGCCTCGCAAGTACAACCAAGCGACAGGCAAGTTCGAGACGGACCCTGATTACACGCCGCGCGTGGCAGGCAGCGGCTTGGTGGCGTCGTGGGAGCTGTGCATGATGAACCTCGCGCGGTCCCTCGACGAGCAGAAGCGAGATTCTTCAGGCTTACGCCACATCCGCCGACCCCTTAATTGAAGTCAATGATCAGATGGTTCGAAAGCGTTTGGCGGTCGTTTTGGAGTTCTTTTCGGGTTTCTTGGGAGCTCTTCGGGGCCTGAGGGGGGCATCTTTGGAGCTGTTCGGGCTACTCCTGGGCTCGTCTTCGAGCTCTCTTGGGCTTCTTTGGGCTCTTCTTGGGCTGCTTTGGTGTCTTGGGGCCTTTTTGGGCCCCCAGGGGTGCCTTTTTTGGTGGCCCCGGGGGTTCCTGGGGGCGGAAAGCTAGATTTTGTAGATTTTTGGTGGCCCTCTTGGGCTCTTCATGGTGCTGTCTCGGAGTCCTCTGGGGCCGTCTTGGGGGCCTCTTGGGCCGTGTTGAGGCCATCTTGGGTTTGGGCCGTCTTGGGGCCGCCTTGGGCGCCTCATTGGGCGGTCTTGGGGCGGTCTTCGGGGCCTCCTGGGCCGTCTTGGAGCGTCGGACAGCCCACACGGCGAATGTGTAAAACAAATACGTTTTACAAAGGAGATGCGCCAATTTTTGCGTCTAGGGATCCTCTTGGGACGCACCTTGGAGGCCTCTTGGGGGCGTCTTGGGCCTTCTGGAGGCCATCTCGGGTGTCTTTGATCGCTTTTGGACCGTCTGGGACCATGTGGAACTCTCTTGGAAGCCAGTTGGAGCGCTCTTGGAGCGCTCTTGGGGCCGTCTTCAGGGATCTCTTGGGCCGTCTTCAGCCTCTGGAGCCGTCTTGGGCCCCTCTTGGGCTGTCTTGGGGCCCTCTTGGAGGCTTCTTGGACCGTCTTGGGGCGGTCTTGGAGGCCTCTGGGGCCGTCTGGGAGCGTCGGAAAGCCCACAAAGCGAATTTGAGAAAAATCCACGTCGTTTCACAAAGGAAACGGTCCACTTTTTGCGGTTAGAGGCCCTCTTGGGACGTATCTTGGATGCCTCTTGGGGCTTCTTGGGGGCATCTTGGACCGCTGGAGGCCATCTTCGGTGTCTTTGATCGCTTTGGGACCGTCTGGGACCATATTGAGCTCTCTGGGAGGCGACTTGGAGCGCTTCTGGAGCGCTCTTGGGGCCGTCTTCGGGGCCCTCTTGGGCCGTCTTGGACGCCTCTTGGGCTGTCTTGGGGCCCGCTTGGGCTATCTTGGGACCCTCTTGGAGGCTTCTTGGGCCGTCTTGGGGCGGTATTGGGGTCCTCTTGGGCCGTCTGAGAGCATCGGAAAGCCCAGAAGGCGAATGTATGAAAGTTAAATGTGTTACAAAGGGAATGGGCCAATGTTTGCGTCTAGGGACCCTCTTGGGACGCAGCTTGGAGGCCTCTTGGAGCCTCGGGGACCTCTTGGGCCGTCTTGGAGGCCTCTGAGCCCATCTTTCGGCCAGCTAGGGCGTCTTGGAGCGCTCGTTTAGCGTCTCGGGGCCCTCGTGGGCCGTTTTGGAGGCATCTTGGGGCTTTCTAGGCCCGTCTTGAGGCCCTCTTGGGCCCGGAAAAGCTTCGTGGTGCGCTCGTCCGGGGCGAGGGGGGGGGTCAAATCCCCGGTTTGGGGTCCCTTGGGGGGGGTTATGGGGGGGAACTGTCTCACGCGCCTAGAGACCCACAAGGGGTCGGCGGATTTCAGCCACGTCCTCGTGATCCGAGCGGACCAGGTCTTCAAAGTGAACGTTGGGCAGATCCTCCTCAACCTGGACGCCGAGGACCGCGACAAGATCCTCTACGCGAACAAGCACGTCGTGCACGGCCCAGACGGACAGCCCATCGAAGAGGGCCAGTGTCCCTCAGGGAGGCGCTTCTTCGGCGACAGGTGGGACAGCGCTGACGGTACGCCGAGCGTCAGCGATCAGTTCCATTGGTTCCCCTTCGGACTTGCAAACGTCATGATGAAGTGCGGCTTTCCTGGCCACCAGGGGTGGGACAAGCACCGGGCGTGGGTCGGCGAGGCACGCTTGGGCTTCCTGACCCCGGGGCCCTTCGAGTCCGACCCGTCCAAGGGGTGGAACCCGCTGTTCCGGCTGGCGGGCCGCGCCGAGCAAGAGGCCACAGAGGCAGAGCTCAGCAGGGTACCTCGCGACTGGCCCCAGGTCCAGCCCAGCATGAGGGCGGACATGTACGGTGAGTACTGGGTCTCGCTGCCAGCCCGCCTGGCGCGTGACAAGCTCACAGAAGGCCCGTTCAACCTGGACAGTCATGCGGGCGCGGGGCAGCGCCTGGCCCTGGTCATCCGCGGCGAATCCTTCCGCGAGGGGCGGCAGCATTCTCGTGCAGTTGGGTCGGATGCTGCAGTCGGCGAGCAGATGCTCGCGTCGGCGTCGCACATGAGCCTCATCGTGGAACCTTTCCGTCAAGCAGGCTACGAGGTCGAGATCTTCCTGCAGACCAGGCACATCAACGACGATCTCACGGAGAAGCTGCACAGCTGGTACGGGGACACCGTGACGAGGACCGAATTCTCTGACAACACCCAGAGCGCCTACAAGCCTCGCAAGTACAACCAAGCGACAGGCAAGTTCGAGACGGGCCCTGATTACACGCCGCGCGTGGCAGGCAGCGGCTTGGTGGCGTCGTGGGAGCTGTGCATGATGAACCTCGCGCGGTCCCTCGACGAGCAGAAGCGAGATTTCAGCCACGTCCTCGTGATCCGAGCGGACCAGGTCTTCAAAGTGAACGTTGGGCAGATCCTCCTCAACCTGGACGCCGAGGACCGCGACAAGATCCTCTACGCGAACAAGCACGTCGTGCACGGCCCAGACGGACAGCCCATCGAAGAGGGCCAGTGTCCCTCAGGGAGGCGTTTCTTCGGCGACAGGTGGGACAGCGCTGACGGTACGCCGAGCGTCAGCGATCAGTTCCATTGGTTCCCCTTCGGACTTGCAAACGTCATGATGAAGTGCGGCTTTCCTGGCCACCAGGGGTGGGACAAGCACCGGGCGTGGGTCGGCGAGGCACGCTTGGGCTTCCTGACCCCGGGACCCTTCGAGTCCGACCCGTCCAAGGGGTGGAACCCGCTGTTCCGGCTGGCGGGCCGCGCCGAGCAAGAGGCCACAGAGGCAGAGCTCAGCAGGGTACCTCGCGACTGGCCCATTTGCTGAGCGCTGTCAGCGATGGTGAGATCACGAAGGGCCCTGGCGCAATCACAACGTTGTTACTCCTACTCGGCGCTCCTCATCCAGCCCTCTTTCTGGATCAATATCAATCGCGCTTGTTTTCCAGATGGCCAGCAGGCAAAGCGAAGCGCAGGCCAGTATTGTTGGTTGGCCCATGCGATTCTGTATCTGCTCGAACCGTCTTTAATTCGCAGAACGAGTGGCCGCGCGTTGTAGTTAGGCTTGTACAAGAACATGTTCGGTTTCGGGGGGAGGCCCTCTCCATTTGCCAATTTCCTCAAGTCAAAGAATACAGTCAAGTTCAAAGCACTTGGGCCGTGCCGTCTTCCAGAATACGCGGTTTCGCGTTCGTGGAACTCTGATTGACTCGTGTCTGTTTGGCACGGGAACAAGTGGAGATCAGTTTTCCATATCCAGTTTCCTTAAGTCGAATGACAGCCGTGTAGTGCGAATCATATGGACCATGCCCCCCGACAAAAAGATGGCGCCAAGACGGTCTGAGAGAGCCCCGACAAAACCCTAAGACACGCCCAGGCAGCCCACCCAGACTTCGGCAGCCCCCAAGGGGACCCCGACAGGCCCCCAAGACGCCCCCAGGATGCCGCAAGACAGCACCAGATGGCCCTTAACAGCACTCAGGGTAGCTTCAAAAGAACACGAGGACCCCGCTTCTTCGACGTCCTTGTCCTCGGGCTCATTACCTTTCTCCGTCGTCGTCGTCGTCGTCGCCCTATTCTCCTCCTAATTATTCTCCTCGTCCTCCGTCGCTTCGTTCCTCCTGGTACTCGTCCTCCATCTCTTCCTCCTCTTCCTTGTGCTTGTCTTCCTACTTGTTGCCCTCCTCCTCACATGGCTGCTCATTCGCCACCTTGTCGTCGCCATCATCCTTTTCTCCTCTTCCCCCAGGAGCCCACTGGACAAAACCAGCGCTTCCCGTTTTTATCCGCTCAGAGAACGAAGGATTTGGCAAAAGTCCGGGCCCGATTTCGATAGGCGGCTGGGTTCTCAGGATCCCTGTTCTGGGTTTCTGGGTTCCTGCTTCTGGGTTTCGGGCCGATTTCGGTGGACGGTAGGGTTTCCAGGCAGAGCTGGACCCAAACGCTGTTTTGCTGGACTTCCGCTGCGTTATGTTTTTCGTGTTGTCAGGGAGGTGCAGGAAAGCAGGTCTAGAGCAAAACGAAACACGAAGCGAAGACAGCATGAAGAACAACGTTCAGGTCCAGCCCTGTTCTCAAGTCAGGCCGGCCACAGCTGGGGGAGCCGTGGTCCTTATATCCCTGGGGGACCCATCGATTTCGACACCCCTCTCGAGAGATTGCGATGGGTTCCCCAGGGGGGTAAGGACCACAGCTCCCCCAGTTCTGGCTGGTCGGCAAGTTTCAGGAGGGAAAGAAACACAGACAGAATTAATCGTCGATTCCCCAGAAAATATGGAAAAATATGGGAAGTGTGGGGGAAGACAAAAACCCAAAACATATGGGAAAATATGGGGAATATTTTTATTTGTGTGTATTTATTTGTGTGTCCTGGGGCCCCTTCAAAGTTCCCCGTTCTTGGCTCCAGGGCTCCCGGCACGGAGAGGCCTGCCGGGCTCCCGTGCTCCCGGCTCCAGGGCTCCCCTTCAGCGGTCGGTTCCCGAGCTCCCGGTTCGGTGGGCGGCTGGGCTCTCAGGTTCTCCAGATTTCGTAATAAAAGGGAGGGGGTCTGGACCCTCCAAGACAAGCCACTTCAGACCTCCCCCGTGGGAGAAGCCTCCAAAACATCGTCCCCAGACCCCCCAGGCCCTCCAAGATAGCCTGGAAGAGACCCCCCCCGGAATGAGACCCCCCTCCCTTTATTACGAAATCTGGGGTTCCCAGTTCCCGATTCCGGGGTCTTTCCAACCTACTTTAGCCTTGATCGCCAGGAAGAATTTCGAGCGCCCAAAAAAGCACCGAAACTCTTGACGCTTCGCGTATCCCCACCAGGTCCGTAGCCTTTTGGCTCAAGGTTTTCACCAGTCCTGCACGAGTTGTTTGCAACCTCGTCAGAGCCCCTTGGCTGTTGACGCCATGGCGCTGTGCGACTCAGTGTCCTGCTTCGTGGGCGTTCCCGCCGCGGCGTCCCAGGGCCCTTCGCCGGCTCTCCGTGCCTCCATCTCCCAGCCACGCGTCGAGAGCGGCGCGAGCTCGGGCTTCAACACCAGCGCCGCGTGCTCCCTCGTTGCGGCCGGCGTCGTGGGTGTGGCCGCGAGCCGCCGCCGCTCATCCGCGAAGGTGACCAGGGAGGCGGTCGGCGTCGGTATCAACGGTTTCGGGCGCATCGGGCGCCAGGTGGCCCGCATTGTCATGAAGGACCCAGAGACGGAGCTGAAGCTGGTGAACGCGAGCTACGATGCGGAGTATCTCGCGTACCAGATGAAGTACGACTCGATCCACGGCAGGTACGATGGCACTGTCGAGGTCGACGGGGACTCCTTGGTGATCGACGGCCACAAGGTGGCGCTGTCGCACACCCGTGATCCGGCTGAGATCCCTTTCAAGGAGCACGGTGCGGACTACGTCTGCGAGTCCACCGGCGTGTTCCTGACGGATGAGAAGATCCAGCCGCACCTCAAGGCGGGCGCGAAGAAGGTCGTGTTCTCGGCCCCGGCTAAGGACGACAGCCACACCATAGTGATGGGCGTGAACCAGGACACTTACAAGAGTGACATGAACTGCGTCTCGTGCGCTTCGTGCACCACCAACGGCCTCGCTCCCATGGTGAAGGCTGTCAACGATGCGTTCGGCATTAAGCGGGGCCTGATGACCACCATCCACGCCATGACCGCGTCTCAGCCAACCGTGGACGGGGCGTCGAAGAAGGACTGGCGTGGTGGCCGCGCGGCGTCAGGCAACATCATCCCCTCCTCGACGGGGGCGGCCAAGGCGGTGGCCAAGGTCGTGCCAGAGGTGGCGGGCAAGCTCACTGGCATGGCTTTCCGCGTGCCCACCATCGACGTGTCGGTCGTGGACCTCACTTGTGAGCTGGAGAAGGCGACGACCTACGAGGAGATCTGCGCCGAGATCAAGAGGCGTTCGGAGGGCGACATGAAGGGGTTCTTGGGCTACTGCGACGAGGCTCTGGTGTCCACCGACTTCGAGACGTGCCCCATCTCCAGCACGTTCGATTCCAAGGCGGGCATCATGCTGGACCCTACGTTCGTGAAGCTCGTGGCCTGGTACGACAACGAGTGGGGCTACTCGTGCCGTGTCGTTGACCTGATCAAGCACATGGCCAAGGTCGACGGAGCATAGGGTGTATGATGGTGCCCATCGCTTCGCCACTCTGCATTCGCTCCCCGATCGTTTTTTTGCTGTTTCTCTGTTGACAGCAGCGGCCGAACGTGGCCATGCAAGTCGACACCCTCGGAGCTTCTCAGGAGCGCCGAGAAAAAAAAACCATCGTCGCTCCCACGCTCAACCTTGTTGAGCGGTCACTTCCTGGGCTTCTTCGTGACTACGGACGGTTGCTTGTGCTGCAGCGGGTATGCGTCAGCGCAGCTTTCTCAGAGCGCTATTTCCACTCTTTCTGGTCCGCCAGGGTATCCTGGAGAGCTGCTCTTTGTTATGTCACTTAGTTGCTTCCTGGTACACGCCGTGTTATCTTCGGTTGGCCCTCGTGTCTCGCGCCGACGTCGGGAACAGGTGTACCTTCCGCACTTCGTCACATCATGTCGTTGATCTTTCGCGTGCGAACGCATCCTCCCGCAGTTGTTTTTAGGCCGACGTGCATCGGTTGGTCACTGTCTCAGTCGTGCCTTTACAGCCGCGTTGGTGAGCTGCGACGGTTCTCTGGCGCCGTCAGGGTCCCTCCCTTCCTGCAGGATGCCTGCGTCAGCTTCTCGCCTACGGTCTCGCTCATACCCGGCAGACACCCTGGGCTCTCTGACACTTTTCTTCCACGGGGATCCCCACTGCCCTGTGGTCGTCGGACCGGACACGACCCTTGACTGGGGGCGTGCATCGCGCCATGTTGGCAGCGTAATTCCTTCTCCCTGGGTGCCAGTCTCCCCTCAGACTCCACCGCCGCCTCCTTCTCCCTTGGCTGCAGCTTGCACCGCCGCCTGATCCGCGGCCCGCGCGCGCGCCCAGCTAATTCGTTACGGCCGCAACCCGACCGTGACCTGCCGCCGCCGGCGCTTCCGCCTGCGGCTGTAAAAAATATCCGCGCCAGCCCATCCAGAAACGATGTCCAGACAAGTTCAATATATCAGGGAAGTGGGGGAGCAACGAGAGGGACAGCCGATCCGTGCAAAGGATGAGGCGGAAGAGGAGGCCAGATGGATAGATGAGGGGGTGGCGAGGAACCGAGCAAAGGAGGGTTGAGGAGAATGATGACGCTGGGTGGATGGTTGAATGCCGCTCGGATTTGGAAGCCTTTTGGAAGCCTCTTCGGGCGTCTTGGGGGTCTCTTGGCGGTCAATGGGGGCTCTTGGGCGCCTTGTGTGCTTCGGGGGGGCCTCTTGAGGCCGCTTGGGATCCTCTTTGGGGGCTCTTGGGGTCCTGTTGGAGGCCTCTTGGGGCCTCTTGGGGGTCTCTTGGAGCTTCATGGCGGCCTCTTGGAGCCTCTTGGAGGCCTCTTGGAACCATCCTGGGAGCCTCTTGGGGGCTTCTTGGGGCCTCATGGCGGCCTCTTGGGGCCTCTTGGGGGCCTCTTGGAAGCCTCTTGGGGCCTCCTGGGCGCCCTTTGGGGCCATCTTGGAAACGATCGATCAAAGAAGAGGGTGGAGTTCATTAACCTTGCCCCCCCAAGAGGCCAAAATGGGGCCAACACCATAGTAAAACCTATGATTTTGGCTTCCTCGCCGAGGCCGTTTTGGACGCTCCAACTACCAGCGAAACCCCCCGTCCAGGTCCAGGGGAGGGGGTTAGGGGGAGGGGTAAGCCCTTCCCCGAAGGGGAAGAAGGAGGGGTGGAAGAGGAAATTCCCTAAACCACCTACGCCCAGAGGGCTGGTGGGATTCAGAGGTTTTCACGTGTCGGGCCCTGGGAGACACTCGCCCGACACTGTTTCGACACTGTTTGGACACTGTGTTGACACTTTTCGGGGTGCTCGAAATTACTTCTGGGATGCAGTCCTTAAGTCGGATGGGAACAACAGAAGTCTTGGTGGGTCTCCTCTTTCCCAGTTCCGGTCTTGAGGTTCCAGGCAGTGTAAGGTTTTGGGGTTTGGGATGTCTTGGTTGTAGCCAAAGCCTGGGTCTGTAGTCCTCACGAGTACAGAAGGCAGAGAGTTGCGAGCAGAGATGACCAGAGCGATTGGAGAGTGGGAGGGAGTATTTTAGTGGCCTCCGGCCAGTGCCGCCGATCCGGGGCGCTCCGGGTGCCTGTGGAAATGAACGACGACGAGGAAAACGAAAACGACGACGAAAACGAATACGTCGACGACGACGACGACGAGAGCGACGACGACAACGACCACGACGACGACGACGACGACGACGGCGATGACGACGACGACGACGCTAGCGACGACGACGACGACGCGAGCGACGACGACGACGACGACGACGACGACGACGACGACGACGACGACGACGACGACGACGACGACGCGACGACGACGACGACGACGACGACGACGACGGGGGGGGAGCTGGGTTGCAGGGGGGGGGTCTGCTCTGCAGGGGGGGTCCGCTCGGCAGAGGGAGGGGCTGCAGGGGAACTGCAGGGGGGAGGGGGGGGCTCTGCAGGGGAGGGGGGCGCTGCAGGAGGGGGGGGTCTGCTCTGCAGGGGGGGGGTGCAGGGGGAGCAGGGGGGGTCGCTCTGCAGGGGGGCGGGGCTGCACGGGGGGGGGGTCAGCTCTGCATGGGGGGGGGGGGGGCTGGGCTGCAGGGGGGGGGGGTCCGCTTTGCAGGGGGAAAAAAGGTGCAGGAGGGGGGTCTGCTCTGCAGGGGGGGGGTGCAGGGCAGGGGGGTCCGCTCTGCAGTGGGGGGGGGGCGCAGGGGGAGGTCCGCTCTGCATGGGGGGGTCCGCTCTGAGGGGCGGGGGGGGGTGCAGGGAGGGGGGGGGGGTCCGCTCTGCAGGGGAGGGGGGGGGGCAGGAGGGGGGTCTGCTCTGCAGGGGGAGGGGGGGGCTGGGCTGCAGGAGGGGGGGGGGGGGGCGCTCTGCAGGGGGGGAGGGCTCGCTCTGGAGGGGGAGGGGGTGCGAAGCTCTGAATTAGATCGGAAATGAGGTCCCCCCCCACTCCCGAAGCATTCAATTAGGTCGGAAGTGAGGTCTCCCCCCCCCGCAGAGCGAAGCTTGAGCGAGCTCAAGCCCACGCTCTCAGAAACTCGCACGCCGGATCGGCGGATTTGCGACCATTGATTTGATATAGTGCTGAAAGGATGAATGAGAAGAGTGCCAATTGTCGAAGTACATCGCAGAGAGCTCAAGGCGGCGTTGGTGTATACATACATAGAGAAATAGCACAAGCAACATGACACACATTTTGACAGATCGCGACAGAGTTTAATCTATAGAGAGAGACATATGTAATCACTGGCTGCCTTAATAATAGCGCGTGCACGAATGTAATGTATGCATGTATGTATGTGTGTAAGTAGGTGGGCCGGTAGGTATGTATGTATGGATGTCTGTATGTATGTATGTGTGTATGTGTGTATGTGTGTATGTGTCAACGTATGTATGTCTGCCGTAGACATGTATGTATGTATGTATGTATGTATGTATGTATGTATGTATGTATGTATGTATGTATGTATGTATGTATGTATGTAATGTATGTAATGTATGTAATGTATGTATGTATGTATGTATGTATGTATGTATGTATGTATGTATGTATGTATGTACGTGGGTATGTATGTATGTATGTATGTATGCATGCATGCATGTATGAAGGGCTGTATGTATGTACGCATGCCCGCACGTATCGAATTGTTTCGTATTGTAGTTGATTGCATTTGGTTGTGCAGGATGGTATTGGATTGTATTGCATTGTATTGTATTGCATTGCATTGCATTGTGCTGCATGTATGCCTGTCTGTACTTTACATATCCATGCCTACTGTTTTCAGAGTAGGTGTGGGATAATCGAGTGCAGATAAATCTCAGGTCATATAACATAAAGACTAGGTACATGTTTTCTCTGATGTATAATGTCTATGTGTGTACGATATTGTTTACGCTTCGCGAATCCCCGCCAGCCCATTTAGAGTCCCTCCTCACGAGAGCTGACGGGAAATGGAAAGCAGAGACGCATAAAGTGAAACACAATGGTCAAAGAGAGGAGGGGGAGGATCGTGTTGAGCCATGCTAGAGGTTATCTTGGAGCATCGGAGGCCTTCTTGGAGCTATGGTTTTTTGTCAGGCCTCGTGGGTCATCTTGGGGCTCTTTTGGGGCATCTTGGGGGACGGGGTAGGGGGAGGGGTGAACCTCTTCCCGAAGGGGAAAAAGGGGTTTTGGAAGAGGAAAGAAAATTATGGTTAGACCGCCTGTCGCCCAGAGGGCTGGCGGGATGTTCAGGACTGTCGTGTCCCACAGCTTGTTTGGGGAAGCTGGCCCCAAAACGGCCCTGCCATTCCGTGACCCACTGAGGTCCCGTACCCGGCATGCTCGCGTCGTGCATCGCTGCGGCGGGAAGTGTCTGGCCAGTGTTGTCCTTTGGGGGCTCGCCGGGCCCTGCGACTGCGGAACAGTAGCTCGGCCTCTTGGGATTTCGAGGTCACCGCGCGGTCCATCACCACACGGTTCTGGGACCCTCGATCTTCTTGCAGTAGAGGAACGAAACAGCACAGGCCTAGGCACAGACTTGCGGAGACAGTCGCGGACCTCAGATATGTTTTGTACGTGCTGTTTTTTCCCACATTTTGTTGTTGTTGTTGGTTTTCTTCCCTGCCGCGTCGCACCCGCTAGGCTCACTTACCTCACCTCCTCCTCCTCCTCCTCCTCCTTCGACTACTTCAGTAAGGGTTTGCTTGGAAGAGAGTTGCAGAGTGCGCCGCCCTGCCGCAACCGCGGGGCTCAAGCTTTCACGGGCGGGCGCACGCTTCTCGCGCGCGTCGCATGCCCGACCTGCCGGTGGCTGTCGCGCACTGGGCAGGTCAGGCCACTTTCGCCTGGCTTGGATCCTGCCCGAGGTGCCCCGAGTCTGTCTGCGGCTCCCTCGTGTGCGGAGAGGTGCACTGCCCCCCGGCGCCAGCGTGCCCGCAGTGCCCCGCGTGCCCAGGCTGCCCCGGGGCCCCCGAGCCAGCCTGCACCACCCCTGCGGCAGCGCCGCCGTGGCTCCCTGGCTGGCTCGCGTCCGCTGGACTCCTGCTGCTGGGCGCGGCCGGAGGAGCTGTGGTGCCTGCCCTCGCGCTGGGCACCTGGCAGGTGTTGCGCTGGCTGACGGCTCAGTGTCCCCGCCGCGGGACTGATGGCGGCGGCGATGCCCCCACCGATACTACGACCCTGGCTGTGGCTCCGGTACCAGGGCGAGGCGCTGTACCACCAGCGGCGCGTTGTCGGGGTGCTGGCCTCCTCGGCGACTCAAGTGACTGACGCCGACGAGGTCATCGGCGTCTCGCCGGACGGCGACCCCGAGCAGATCGACCTCTCCGGGGCCTCGCGGGACATCGAGGCCTGGCGCTGGTCGGAGGTATTCCGTCCACCCCCGCCTGGTATCCCGCGAGGTCAGGTCTACCGCTTCCAGCAGGAGCCCGACGCCGCCGCCCTCGCCACGATGCGCGCGGACGCCGAGGCGTTCTGCGACGCCGCCTTCCTCGCTCTCGACCGGGCGGCAGGGCAGCCAGCGGTGCTCCCGGCGACGGGCAGCCTGGTCGACGCCGTGTGGCCCGCGCCCGCGGCGCCAGCCGCGGCCGCCGCTGCGGCCCCCGCAGCCCCCGGGCTGCCGCTGGCGCTCCCTGGGATGGCGCCCCCCCCGGGCCCTCCGGCCCTGGGCGCCCCCGCCGCGGCCGCCGCCCCGCTGGCCCTGCTCGGAGCACCCCCAGCTGCGCTGCCTGGCGCTGCTCCACCGGGGGCGGTGGTGGCGGCCCCGCTGGCCGCCGCGGCGCCTGGAGCCGCCGCCCCGGCCGCATTCCCCGCGGCCATGGCTGCTGGCGCCCCTGCAGCTGGGGCCCCGCTGGCCGCAGGGCCTGGGCATGGTGGCAGCGGCACCCTACCCGGTGATGGTCACGGTTGAGACGACGACGTACGGCCCGCGTGGGACTCCAGTGGCTCCGAACGGCACGGAGGTCATGTCTGGCGACGTCGGCATCCACACGGCTCCTGGCTATGGTGGCTTGCTGGTTCGTACGATTCGCTCCGACCAGGTGCAGGATTTCAAGGGCCTCGAGGCAGCGGGTGACGCCCGCCTCCTCAGCGTGATCGCGGTGAATGGTCAACGCTCCCGTCGAGCCTGGCGTGACGTGGCCAGCTCGCTATCCGAGATCGCCTTCCGCGACTGGGCGATAGAGGGCCCCCGCACCACCCTTTGGCGCTGCCGATGGATCGACCGTCGGGGCGGGGGCCCTCTCGACCACCACCGCTTCTTCGTGATGGTCCACCGCCTCCACAAGGACAGCTGGGGTGTCCCGATGCACGAGTTCGGGATGAAGGCCCTAGAGACCCTCGGCGCCTACGACTCGCTTGACCTGCCGAGCGCCGCGGGGATCGAGTCGCTGATGCGCGAAGTGCAGCTGGTCGAGTATGCGTATGCCAAGCGCGACGGGTTTGCTGGGGCCAGCACCGAGGTGGCCGACGGCGACCTGAATGCCAAGAAGAAGGGCCGTGGCCGCGGACGAGGAGGCGCCGCGGGCGCCTTCGGCTACCTGGACGAGCACACCGCCTTCCGGGGGCAGCGTGAGACGGGAGACGCCACGGTGTTTCCCGCCCTGGTCGAGTGGGTTGGCAAGCAAGTCGAACGCGATGCCAACATTTTAAAGCAGGTCCGAAAAGCCCGAGAAGAGCGGGCTGATGCGGGCCATGGTCCAAATTAGTTTTGGACGCACGGCGGTCGCTCCCCCTGGCGCCCGCTGTTCACATTCTGTGGGGCTAGGCTCGCCGCGGCAGGCGCGCCTCGATTTTCTGCCAGCAGAGGCGCAGGGCCGCGCCATCATCTTCCCCTTCCTCCTGTCCTCCTCGTGCTCTGGCCATCGCGTGGCGCCTGGTCCCATGTCGAGAGCGTGCCCTCGTGATCTTTTTTCCCCTGCCTGTGCCGGCCTCCTCTGACCCCCCTAGGACCTCTGTCTCGCGCAAAGTTCGGAGGAGATTCGAGGTCCACCGTCAGTCAGCATCCTTGGTCTCCGAGGTGGTTTCGGTCTTGAATCAGTTACACGGTCAACGCGGTTCGGACAGCGGTCAAACAGTATCGGCGGCCCAGAAGGCGCGTTTGGAGCATATCCACCGCGCGGTTCTACGATTTGGCAAGCCCCCGGCGGACCTCACCTCAGCAGGGGCCTTACGAGAGCTCCGCGTTAACCCAGGCTACTCCGTGACGAGCAGCCCCGTGGTTCTCATCAGCGAGGCCAATATAAACAGAGTTGCCCTTCCTCCTGTCGGGTGGCCACCTGCTGGAATTTTGCAGCTGGGCGGCTCCGTCGGCGAAGCCATAGTTGATGAGCTGCATGCGCTACGGCGTCCTGACCCAGCACTTGCAGATGCTTCTACACCTCCTCCCAGAATGTACCACGATCCTTATCTCCGTTCTCATCCTCGGCTTTATGCGCGCTTCCTGCTTCGCCTCAGTCAGTCTAACCTTGTGACGTGGAGGCGAGAGTGCACATCCTGCGTGGGGGTCTTCTTTGCAGCTAAAAAGAATGGTGACCTTCGTTTGATCCTCGACGGGCGTCAGGCAGGCGAGCATTTCGATGAGCCCCCTCACGTTGACCTAGCTACTGGGTCGGCGTTCTCGGCCCTGGAGGTTGACGGTGGGGGGCCTATCTATGCTGGGGGGACGGACATTGAGAATGCCTTCTATGGGATTCAGCTACCTCTGGAGTTCTGGCAGTTTTTCGGGCTACCTCGAGTACGAGCTGGGGTCCTAGGTATCACTACCGACAGCGCTGGAGGCCCCTTGAGGGCCAGCGACTGGGTTACCCCGTGCTTTACCGCCGCCCCAATGGGATGGAAACACACTCTCTGGATCTGTCAGCGTATCATGGAGTTCCGGGCCCGCACCAGCACGTTGGCCCCCCCCAGTCTGGCTTTTGACGATGCGCACCTTCCTGTCCGTCTGGTTCGATCTTCCACGCAGGTATTACATACAGAGTACGTTGACAACTTCGTTGCCCTTGGCCTCTCGAAGGACCCCATGTATGCCGTGACTGACTCCGTCGATCGCAGTCTCCGAGACGCTGGGTTTCGCACCCACGGTCCGACGGCATCGGCTGGAGGGGGTGTTCTCGGTTGGATTTTCGACCAGGACGCCCCGACGATTGGGATCAGTCACCGCATAGGCTGGCGAATACGACTAGGGTGTCTGGCTGTCGCGGACATGAAGTACGCCTCGGGGGATCTTGTCAGGGTCGTCGTGTCGCACTTCACGTCTCGGGCTCTGCTGCGCCGTGAATTACTCTCATGTCTGCAGGCTTCGCATTCTTTCATCGAGTCGTCCGGCCACCACACGCGTGTTCTCTGGAGCTCATTCAAACGGGAGCTTCGTTGGTGCGCCGCGCTGATCGCACTCGCTTTCCGCGACGTCAATGCCGCCTGGTCCCCCATGGTCTACTGCACCGACGCGTCCTGGTGGGGCGCAGGGGTCGTCAGGGGCATCCGCAGCGTCCAGGAGGTCCAGCACGCGGGCCACTATACGGAGCGCTTGCGTTGCTCAGCGGCCCACGAGGCCATCCTCAAGCCACGGGACTCGGCTCTGAAGCGTTCGGTCAGCAGCGGGGTCGCCGCCTCCCCCCAGGACTCCGAGATCCCGAAGGCCCCCTTCCCCGAGGTCCCAGAGTCGGTCTACGGCGGCGACTGGTCCCTCGTAATGTCCCAGAAGTGGTCCCGCAAGGAGGCCCAGGTTGTCTTGGAGGCTCGGTCGCTCGTGCTCACCGTGAAGAACATAGTTCGGAACACTCAGAACTTCGGTTGCAAGCACCTGGTTTTGAACGATTGCATGGCTCCCATTCTTGCGTTTACCAAGGGACGATCGTCGAGCCCTGGGGTCCTACAGTGCTGCCGTCAGACGGCTGCCATGTTGCTGGCCTCTAACTCGTATATCGCCTGGGGATGGGCCCCATCAGAATCCAACGCAGCCGATGCCGCTTCTCGAGGTCGGGCAGGAGCTTTCCGATTCAATGCTGCGCCGAATCCAGTTGCAGCACTCGGGCCCGCGGGGCTCGAGGTCCTCCGCGATGGCTTCCTCGGCGACAGCCGTGACGGCGGGCCCGCAGCTGGTGCCGCGCCCCCTGGGCGCCCACGCCGGGGGCCTGCCCCGTGCGGAGGTGGCGCCCAACCTCCCAGCGCCCTCCTCGCGGCGCCCATACCGCGAGTGGGTGCCCCACGGCCCCGGCGCTCAGGAGGCGAGGGCCGCCAAGCGGGCGAGGGCCTTCCCTGCTGCCGCAGAGGCCCCACGGCCGCCAGGCGCCCCGACCTTCCTCGAGCTGCAGAGCGTCTCGCCGAAGGCCGCCCAGGACTACCAGACGTACGTGACGGCGTTCTACCAGTGGGGCCAGGAGCGCCACCTGCTCAGCGACATCGCGACCTCGCTGAGGTCGGCGCCGGCGATCGACCTAGCCCTCGTGACGTACATGCACGAGAAGTTCTTCGCAGGCGAGCTCTCCTACGCGCCGACGAAGCTGATCGCGGGTCTCCGCTACTTCTGGACATACCCCAACGGAGCGCCCTTCGAGCTGCCCCGCAGCTTTCGCGCCTTGACGGGCTGGAAGCGCATGGTGCCCGCCCAGAGCCGCCTGCCGCACCCCTGGGTCGCCCTGTGCCTGCGCGTGCAACACATGATTGCCGCGGGCCAGGTGATGGAGGCATTGGCCAGCATCATCGCCTTCACGTTCTACCTGCGCCCCAGCGAGTGCCTGCGTCTGCAGGGGAAGCTGATCACGGCTCCTGCCCAGGCGCCTCGCCGTGTGCAGGACGGCCAGGGCCAGATGTGGCCCCTCCTCCTGCACCCGCAAGAGGGCGGCGCCACGTCCAAGACGGGCCGCGTGGACGAGAGCCTGCTAGCGGACAACCCCCTGTTCCCGTGGTTGCCGCAGGTGCTGGGCCTCCTGAAGGCCAAGTTCCCCCACTCGCTGGTCTTCAACCTCGGCCAGGCGCAGTGGGGCCGGGCCTTGAAGGGCGCGGCGCCCGCTTGCGGGCTCACTGCCCTGGGCGACCCGTGTCTGCACCGCCTCCGCCACGGAGGGGTGTCGCACGACCTCCTCTTCAAGGCTCGCACTCTCCTGTGCGCCAAGAAGCGCGGCCGCTGGGCCAGCGACCGCAGCCTGGCCCGCTACGAGCGGGGCGGGCGCATCAACGAGCAGCTGAGCCTCTTGTCCCAGGACATCCTCATCGCCGCCGACCTGGCGGCCTCGAACATTGGCGTAACCTTCGTGAATGCCTTCCGCTCTTTGTGAAGCAGCGGGGCGTCCCCGCGGCCCTCGAGATCTTCGCTGGCTCCGGGCACCTGTCTGAGGTTTGGCGCCGATCCATGAGGTCGGCTGGCCACCCTGTTTTCGAGATCGACATACGGCACGGGGTTGAGCATGACATGTGCAGTAAGGCCCTGGTCAAGCTTATTCGGGGCTGGGTCCGAGGTGGGCTCGCGACGGCCGTGTTCATGGGTACGCCGTGTAATTCCTTCTCTCTTGCACGGAACCGCCCTAACGGTCCCCCGACCCTCAGGACGTCCGAGTACCCCGAGGGCCTCCCCAAGCTCTCAAACAGCTGCCGCAAAGAAGTCGACCTCGGAAACTCCCTGTGTGCCGCGAGTTTCAGTATCTTCCGTGAGTGCCGTTTGCTTGGGTGCCCAGTGATCGTCGAGAACCCTGCGAGCTCTCATCTTTGGAGACAACCCCAGGTCCTCAAGGTCCGGCAGCTTCCTGGTGTTTCAGAAGTGGTTTTCGACATGTGCGCTTTCGGCACCATCTGGAGAAAATCTACCCGACTTCTTGGGTGTCACGTTGATCTTCGACCACTGGATATTCGATGTAGATGCAAAGGTGTATGTACGTTCACTGGCTCCCCGCATTTTACCCTGGAGATGAAAGGCTCCAAGATCGTATCAAAGCAGGCGGAGGTTTACCCCTTCTCTGTATGCCGAGCCATTGCGAGAATATTCCGTGCTGCTCTAGTGCAACAACGCGCTAATAAACTTCGGCCTCATGTTTGAGTCCAGAACGGTGTTCGCGGAGGTTTTACTGTTCCTGGGCTTTACACTGGTTCGGATGTTATACAGTACTGTTTCCTGGTCTGTACGTTGTCCCCCTCCCTGCAGTCTCGGGGGCAAGCACGTCCCAACGCAGATCGTGTCCCTGGCGACGGAGAAAACATCTGGCCATGCATTCGACTACTTCAGTAAGGGTTTGCTTGGAAGAGAGTTGCAGAATGCGCCGCCCTGCCGCAACCGCGGGGCTCAAGCTTTCACCCAACCCTCCCTCCCTTCTGTAAAGCTGGCCGAGGCATTGGCAGGCGGATTTTATACAGTACGGTTTCCTGGTCTGTACGTTGCCCCCTTCCCTGCAGTCTCGGGGGCAAGCGCATCCCAACGCAGATCGTGTCCCTGGCGACGGAGAAAACATCTGGCCATGCATCCTCCTCCTCCGTCTCTGTCTCTCACACAGCACAGCGCACCACAGCGCAGCAGAGCACAGCACAGCACAGGTCAGCACAGCACAGCACACAGCACATTGACACACAGCACGTACACGGCACAGCACAGGACAGCACTGCTCAGCACAGCTCAGCTCAGCTCAGCACAGCACGGGACAGCACAGCTCATCTCAGCACAGCTCAGCACAGCACTGCACAGCACACCGCAGCACAGCACCTCTGGACACCATAGGGGTTGCGCAGCAGGTGGTCTCTAAGCGCGGCTGGTATCCACGACACTGTCGCAAAGCCTAGCAGGCGTGGCGCTATCTGGACACCATAGGGGTTGCGCAGCAGGTGGTCTCTCACCGAGGCCGCTATGCGCGCCTCTCGTCCAGGCGCAGCAGGCGTGGCGCTCTCTCGACACCAGAGGGGTTCGCAGGGGGTGGTCTCTCACCGCGGCCGCTATGCGCGCCTCTCGTCCAGTGCTTGGCAGGCGTGGCACTCTCTCGACACCAGAGGGGGTGCGCACGGGGCGGTCTCTCACGGCGGCCGCTATGCGCGCCTCTCGTCCAGGCACAGCAGGCGTGGCACTCTCTCGACACCAGAGGGGGTGCGCAGGGGGTGGTCTGTCACCGAGGCCGCTATGCGCGCTCCTCGTCCAGGGCATGGCAGGCGTGACGCTCTCTCGACACCAGAAGGGATGCGCACGGGGTGGTCTCGCAGCGGCCGCTATGCGCGCCTCTTGTCCAGTGCTTTGCAGGCGCGGCACTTTTTCGACACCAGATGGGGTGCGCAGAGAGTGGTCTCTCACCGCGTCCGCTACGCGCGCCTGTCGCCCAGGCACAACAGGCGTGACACTTTCTCGACGCCAGAGGGGGTGCGCAGGGGGTGGTCTCTCACCGCGGCCGCTATGCGCGCCACTCCTCTCTCGACACCAGAGGGGGTGCGCACGGGGTGGTCTTTCTCCGCGGCCACTATGCGCGCCTCTCGTCCATGGCATAGCAGGCGTGGCAGTTGTTCGACACCATGAGGGGTGCGCAGGGGCTGGTCTTTCTCCGCGGCCGCTATTCGCGCCTCTCGTCCAGGGCGTAGCAGGCGTGGCAGTCGCTCGAACCAAGAGGGAGCGCGCAGGTGGTGGATTCTTTCAGAGTGTAGGGCGAGTGGCATGTTCAGGAGGACGCAATGGTGCACAAGCGTGGGGGTGGCGCTATCTTCGTCATCATCATCATCCGCGTCATCATCATCATCATCATCATCATCATCATCATCACCATCAAGAGCCATCGTGGCTCATGCCGGTTCCTGCAGCTCGATAGGTGAAGGCTGGCGACCGCCAGCGATTTTCCGTCAAAGGGAAGTTCCTTGTTGTGGCGCCCGAATGCGCTATCACCGCGATGCCGCCTTCGTGCGAACATCTCAAGAACACAATGTTGGAGATAGGTGCCGAGGTGAACCTAGATGGTTTGCGCGCGTATGCTGTCAGGTGTGGGAACGTTTTGGTAACCAGCGCATTTCATGCTTACCAGCGCCAGCTTCTCAATTGGTGGCCTGGGACGCTCCTCGCCAGGTGCAACAATTTGCCGCGTCAGCGAGGCGACGACGATGCAAGGAGGCAGTGCTTGGTCAGGTGCTTGCACTTTCTCGACACCGTAGGGGGTGCGCAAGGAATGGCCACCAACATTCTAACATGCTTCGCGTCAGCGATCATCACTCCAGCCATCATATGAGTACGTGGGGGTTCTCAGTGACGTAGTTGTTCGCTTCTCTCCCTCGTTCGGCATCGCCCAGACATGCGTTTGCCACATCTGTGCGTCGGTCCCACCCCAGGGGCTACGCGCGCCCAGGAACCTCGCGTCGCATGCTCGGTGGCGAGCGCGTTCCGACCGTACCGCCAGGGTGGCGATACATTCGTGCGATACGATTGTGCTGTCTCATCGGGTCTGACGTGCGCCTCCACGCGATGCGCGCAGCACGGGTGTGTCGTTTTGCGCCCCACTCGCCCTCGTCGCCGCTTCTCCTTTCTCGAAGGAGGACTCGCGGCGGGGGCGCGCGCGACTCCCCGAGTGAGGACCCATCTCGGCTGCGCGCAGAGGAGGGGCGCCCTTCGGAGAGGGCGGAGGGTTCTCATGTTCCAGCCTGCTTTAGCCTTGCCCACCATCAACAATTTTGAACACCGGGGAAATGCCGAAACTGGAGCGTTTTCACGTGTCGGGCCTTGGGAGGCGATGGTTGCTCGTTCGACATTGTTTGGACAGTTTTCGGCGCGCCCGCATTTGTTTGTGGGATGTGGTCCTGAAGGGATATTGGAGCAACATGAGTGGAGGGGTTCCTCTTCCCCCGCGGTGCCGCGCATCGCTGCGCCCCTCGTCGCCGCTGGGGGCGGCCCCCCAGAAAAAAGGCCAGCTGGTGTTATGCCTTGGCCAGCTCTTGGCTCGGGCGAGGAGGAGGAAGGCAGGGTGCGTCAGAGGAGGAAGTGTCACCGATATCGCCGTCCGTCCCGGAGAGCCCCTGTCGCCACCGTTATGCTTCCCCCGGGGGAAAAGGATGAGAAAAGGGAAAACACAAACCCTTGGGACCTTCTTGGGGCCTCCTGGGGGTTTCCTTGGAGCCTCTTGGGTGCCCCGTGGGCATCTAAGAAGCCGATTGGCCTTCGGAGGCCGTCTCGAGGGGCCTCTTAAGGCCGTCGTGGGGCCGCCTGTGGGCGTTTTGGGATCGTTTTGGTGCCGTCGTGAAGGCTTTGTGGGACGTTTTGGGGCCAGGTTGGCCCATCTTGAGGCCTGCTCGGGAGCTTTTCGGGCTGCATTGGAACCATCTGGATGTCCTGTTGGGCCTTCCTGGGACGTCAGAGCACCGGAGAGGGGGTCTGGACCCTCCAAGACAAGCCACTTCAGACCTCCCCCGTGGGAGAAGCCTCCAACACATCGTCCCCAGACCCCCCAGGCCCTCCAAGATAGCCTGGAAGAGACCCCCCCCCGAATGAGACCCCCCTCCCTTTATTACGAAATCTGGGGTTCTCAGTTCCCGATTCCGGGGTCTTTCCAACCTACTTTAGCCTTGACCGCCAGGAAGAATTTCGAGCGCCCAAAAAAAGCACCGAAACTCTTGACGCTTCGCGTATCCCCACCAGGTCCGTAGCCTTTTTGCTCAAGGTTTTCACCAGTCCTGCACGAGTTTTTTGCAACCTCGTCAGAGCCCCTTGGCTGTTGACTCCATGGCGCTGTGCGACTCAGTGTCCTGCTTCGTGGGCGTTCCCGCCGCGGCGTCCCAGGGCCCTTCGCCGGCTCTCCGTGCCTCCATCTCCCAGCCACGCGTCGAGAGCGGCGCGAGCTCGGGCTTCAACACCAGCGCCGCGTGCTCCCTCGTTGCGGCCGGCGTCGTGGGTGTGGCCGCGAGCCGCCGCCGCTCATCCGCGAAGGTGACCAGGGAGGCGGTCGGCGTCGGTATCAACGGTTTCGGGCGCATCGGGCGCCAGGTGGCCCGCATTGTCATGAAGGACCCAGAGACGGAGCTGAAGCTGGTGAACGCGAGCTACGATGCGGAGTATCTCGCGTACCAGATGAAGTACGACTCGATCCACGGCAGGTACGATGGCACTGTCGAGGTCGACGGGGACTCCTTGGTGATCGACGGCCACAAGGTGGCGCTGTCGCACACCCGTGATCCGGCAGAGATCCCTTTCAAGGAGCACGGTGCGGACTACGTCTGCGAGTCCACCGGCGTGTTCCTGACGGATGAGAAGATCCAGCCGCACCTCAAGGCGGGCGCGAAGAAGGTCGTGTTCTCGGCCCCGGCTAAGGACGACAGCCACACCATAGTGATGGGC